CAAATTATTTGAAAGGGCGTACTTACTGACATAGGTGAGGCGGTTTTGTAATGAGATTCCTAATTCTTCAGCTCATAGAAGTGTTTGCTGAAATATGCTCCAATCATTTTATCATCATTACTAACCCTTCTGGAAAGTCAAAGTCATGTTATATCGTTTACATACTGTTATCGGCACTGTGTGTAGGAGGTTGTGACCTTACGTCAAGCAACAAGTGGCGTCGTGATCGCTCTGCTTCAGATGTAGTGCTTGAAAGGTCATCAGGACTGGTCCGCAACAGGTAAGTGAGTGTCAGTTTGATTTGTCGGATCGTGCCAGATGGATGAGGTGCTAGATGTATCTAAAATAGGTGGTGCAATTAATTAATGAGATTACGCGCGCACCAGCAAAAGGCACTACCGTGCATATTTCCCCTTACATTCTCTAACTTCGCACCGCCTTACGGCAGATATATTGCCACTTACTTGTGATGCATTAACAATGCATTTAATCCATTTTTCTTCAGTTCCGATGAGTCCCAACAACATTCCTTCAAAGTCATCAATTTCGTCCTGTATTTAAATCAGAATGCGTAGTTCTGGCAGTCAATCGAAATTGATGGACACAACGCCGAAGTGAGTGCATCCTCTGGGCATTATTTGTTCATCTTTTGATAGAACGTAAAGTTAGGTGACCGCCGGGGCAAAGTGATTGTGGGAGGAACTTCTGTGTCTTTCATTCATTGACAGATTACGTATGGCTGTCGGTGTTGTAGGCTGTGCTCATTAAAGTCGGCCAACCATTTTAGTCATGGAAGGAGGTAAGTAGGATGGTTGGCCTGATACAATGATATCTTCAGATGAACATGAGAATTCCATGCCATCGCCAGAGGAGCATGGGCAAGTTAACGTGGAAGAGGAGGCTCGAGTTGAATCAGTGCAGGATACACCAAGTGAAGCATTACACCGTGTTGTTAGAAGAGTAGGGGCAACCGCTGCTTTATTCCGGCCTGGTCAAAGCGATCCTTCTAATCAAACCTCTGGAACATTGTCGACTAGACGAG